TAATCATAGCCAAACCTATTTTGGTATAATAACGAACGCTAAAACTGCAGAGATTTTGATCTGATTTGAAACTAAACACCGCAGAAATTTTCAGTAAATTAAAAAATAATTTATGCGTTATGATTAGTTTTCTGTTTCGAAAAACTGTTGGAAAATTCAGCGTGTTAACTGAAACTTTTCTTCCATACTTTGAACTTTATACTATTAGCTTTTAATTTTATTTCAAAGAAACTGTTCTTTTCTCGGAAATAGAAAAAGATTCTATTATAGTTAAATAAAAATGTTTATGCTTTCACGAGAAAGTTAAAATTATGATAGAGATGTAAAAACTTACCAGGCAACGGACGAAACGGCGGAACAGAGCAGAACTCTAACGTGATTTTCAAATCCGACCACGTTATGTAGTCGGGGCTTCATTAAGCCCCGCATTTTTATATAACAGTCTCCACTGTCGTACATCGATACAGTCGGAGATCTGCTTAACCGTGCATTATCGGAGATATCTGTTTAATACCACTCAGGGGCGCCATTGATGATTACTTTGTCAATAAGTATCGGTCGGAGACCGAATGAAGCTTGTAAAACTTACGATTACTCATAAAATAACTATCATTTTCTTATTATTATCTTCTCTGTTGTGAGAAGGCTGTTATGAAATGCAGTTTATTAACTGGAACTTTTATGCCACGTATTTATGTGTAATAAGACATTTGAAATCTTTTTCAATTTCAAGAAAATCGACATTTATTGGAAATTCTTTTCGATCGATTTTCTTGAAATTGGAAAAAGTTTTAGTTAAATAGGAACGCTGCGTTAAATTTTATACGTATACATTAGGATACCTACACGAAGATACCTAACACGACGTGTTTAACTCGTGAATGCTTGGTTTACGTCTGCAGCCTCGTCTCGTCGAACAGACTGTAATCGCAATTAACTCTCTGCCGGCAATGTGACCGGTAATACGGATCTTCCACGATCAATCTTGATTTTTCATTGTTGTAAGTTTCGAGAAAATCTAAAAAATTTTAACATATCTATGATAGTCCCTAATTTAATAAACAATTAAAGTTTTAACCAAATTTTAATATGATTTTGCAACGAAAATTGAAAACAATTAAAATAATTAAAAACATACTTATAAGATTTATTGAACCCGGAAATTCAAAAATTATGAAACGTTCTGTGTAAGTAGAGTCAGTCAAGCCTAATACATTGAAATTGTTCAGAAAAGATCAGCGGTGAAGGTATTTTGAAAAGTTTGAATTTTTGAGAAATTTTATTTTGCAATTTTTTGGACACGAAAGAACAATATATTTTTTGTATAAATTATATCGCTATCTCCTACCATTCTTAAAATAATCCACGATAAAGAAAAATGTGCATTTTGTGTGGTTCCATAAAGTTTCATAATTTTTGAAATTCCGGGTTCGATAACTTTCTTTGTTAGAAGCTGTACAGATAGTTTACATGATACTACAGAGAAAAACGTAAAATACAACGTATTAATATTTATTAACACTAAAACTACCGAACGGGTCAAATTGATCCACTTCAGAATGTTTATTTTGCAAATTATATAAATCATGAAGGCGTTTCTGCCAGAGATTTCCAATGAAATTTGTGTATTTCTATAGATAGAAGACTAGGAGTCCCCTCGAATCTCGTGAAACGTATTATTCTAATTTTTCTAAGAAACTGGAGATAAGACGCTCCAATTGCTCGGTAGCTTTAGTGTTAATATACCAAGACAAAATACAAACATACACCACGAGTCCGACTCGTCATTCTGTGCGAATGAGTTAATGGCTGCATATTGCCGGTGGAGGGTTAACTTTGTGGCGAGTCAAATATCGAAGGATAACTTGACACGCTGTAAAATGCGCGGACGTGTTCCTAGGGCTGTGGGGACGATTTACACGTCAGGGGTTGATTCTAGAACAACCACGGGATCCGTTGAAAGGCAATCCGATAGAAAGCGCGATAACCCGACAGGAAAAACGTCCCTGCAGTAATCTATCGGAATATCAACTTTCGTTGAAGGATACGGCGAGGTTTACGGGGCACGGACCGGTTGCTTTACGATACTCGTAAACGTTACGTAGCGTTATGTAAGGCCGGACCATTAGTTCCGCGCCGGTCGATTTGATTGACTCTGTCGAGGATCATTTTGTGTCCTGCGGGCTGGTGCTCGAGGGTGATTGTCTCCTCGAGTGCGCGTTTTCACGGTAGACTGTCTTCCATACGTATCTACAGTTATACGAGCCGAAGTTAATGATCGTCACATTAGTGCCGCTGCTGGCGGCATTCAATGACGTTTATCTTGGGTTCGAGAATTGCGAATATAGTTAAATCACGTTACACATAGACGAGCCAGGTGGATATAATTGGAACCAGACATCTTCCCCGTCTTTTCAAGTCGTAATTAACCCTTTGCACTGGCGAGACCCTCTGTAGCCACGTGATTTGACACAGGAAAATTAAAGAGTTTCATGTTTAACATTAAGCTTAGTGTAATTCCTGAATCATATATTTTTACCAATAAACAAAATCAAGGATAAACAGAACTTTGTTAATATAATTATAAGGTATAGGTAAATAATCTATGGATGACGAAGGAGAATATATTTTAAATCAGGAACAGTTTCGTTTGTCTTTATTCTTAAAGATAAAATAAGTAGCGGATACCGCGTTATTTATTATGAGACGACACAATAATTTTGCAGATATGAAGCTAGAGATCCTCAATGTGAATACGCGCTTGACATTCTTACGTTCTGTTGAAGGGAGGCAATCGTTGATATTACGGCAAGGATCACTGGCTCCATAATGCTTTTTCAAAGAATATTTTACTTTCTGATTTGAAGGAAAAGAAACGTCCTTGTAACTTTCTTTAACTATTACTATGGGAATAAGTTCGGTTCTATTGTGTATTGCAACTGGATTTTGTTTCAAGCTCCTAGCTTACAAAATTAATCATTAGTTTAGGCGTTGTTTTAGATTTTTCATGTTAATATATCGGAGAGGGTTATTAGTGTATAATTCAGTGTTGTTCTAAAAAGTTAAAAGTGCAGTAGAAATATCTTTTCGAGCTTTTTATCGGTCAGAAGTGAAATGAATTACAAATGAATACTGAATTTAGATATTATTACTGTCATAGATTTAATAATTAATACTTTTGGTAATATATAGAATAAACCAAATTTTAAAGGGTTCGTGAGATGGAGGAATGTTAAGAGAACTGTCGCGGTGAGAAGTCTTGATTTTTGAGTCTCTATTTCGTTATGAAAATTGCCTTAATTATACGAGTAATTTAATGAGTGCCGATTTGTTGTTAAACGTGTGAACAGCGCAATTAAGTTTAAACTCATTAAAAATTCCCTGAAAAGCATAAAGACCATAAAATCGATTGAACATGATACTGAGAGTAAAATTAACACATAATACCCCAAGTAAGCGCAAATAATATTTAAATATATAATAGAACGGAAGTCTGTGGGAAAAGAACTGTTACATAAAGCATGAAGGTTATTGAAAACTTTATAAATACACAGTCTGAATAAAAGAAGGGAAAAGCTTGCACCCTACATAATTAATATTTACATAACATCCTAACAATTCTCAAATACTGCCGCAGAGACTGTGAAAAATGATGTAAAATTCTACATACTAATTGAGCCATTCGATTAAACCTAAAAGTTAGAATTAAAAAGCAGATGGAATAAAAGTTTTCTATCTACTAATGAAATCAATAAAGAAACATGATCCTATTCATAGTGAAGAAGGGCACTGCTTCTCCGTGGATTATTTGTTCCTCAAGAAATCCCATCGTCCCAGTTCAGAAGTTCCACTTTAATTCGGTGAGCACGATGTTGCACTGTCTACGCGATGCTGCATAATATAGCCCTCCATTCAGGATCGACACGGCTGAATTATGAATGACGGTCGATAGCTAGAGGGAGGACATGTGTACTGGCCATACGAGTCCCACCTGGTAGAGGGTTAGCCTTACGTGGCTTTTGAAAGAACGCGTAGGAGAATAGAAAAGCTATCAGCAAAGCTGCAGTGGCTTTTATCGACGCGACACTCTTGCACACTCTCATTGTCGGCGTTATTCGAGTAATCTACCCTCCGGGATTCAATTCATGAGAACCGTGTTTGAAATATTTCGATTTTACTGTCGCTAATTGCGCGTGCATAGTGTTCACAGTATTCACAGTTGACGACTGCGAATAAAAATTGTATTAGAGAGAAAATTCTATTCCCTTCGATGAAATGTATGAATTCTTTAGTCTTTTTTGATGGAAAAAGTACGAACGTCTTTTATTTGAAACTCTACATACGTTTTTGATATACTTCCGTTAAATTTCATGAATTTCTTCAGTTCGGTTTATTTATAAATAAAGTTTCTACAGCCTACAGATCGAAATACTCACCCAGTGGTTGACATGACAAAAATAAAGTTATTTTATCTCAATGTTTCGCACACTGATACATTATACATACAAATTTTAATACAAAATATCAAACTTTATCATTTTTCTGTTACAAATCAAATCGCGACTGAGGATTAAATCCTCCCAAGTCAACCGATTCTTCATTTGGCCCTTCGTAGGTCTATCTTCTCTGCATCCCTTGATTCACGATCATCGTTCTCGCGGCAGTCGCTTTCGGCTTGATCAAGCTTCTGCGATTCATCCATAACATAGCTAGGGAACTGCTGGCCCGGGGCTACTTCTCTCTCGATGCTTTGTTGGGCCTCCTCCGTGCCCACTAGGCTCGTACCTGGCCGTAGTAGCGTCAACTAATGTACAAACACGTGTGAACGTAGTGGTGATTAAAAGAGGAGGAATTTGACTGCAATCGTCAGAGCCTAGTGGGCATGCAGAGGGTCGCTCGGCAAAGCAGCGGAAGGGGAGAAGTGGCCCGCGGGCAACCAGTTTCCTGTCTATGATGTGTAACGCAAACGAGACATCACTCGCTTTATTCTCTGCTTGCAGTAACATGGCTGTATCGATGCTCCATCTGGATCAACGAAGTTACGACCTCGTTATCGAAGGTGCGCTCGCGTAAGATCTTGGGGGAGCGTGTGTCGTTACCGCTGGAGGGTTGACAGCCTCCGGCAGGACAGGTACCCGGAAAAGGAAGTCCAGGAGCTGAGGACGGATCAGGTGCGAGCTAGCAGCGAGGCCTAGCACCTGTTTCTTAGAGGATTTTGACGTGGAGGGGTGGGGGGTGACGGGTAATAGCACCTAAGGGCGGGTGGGGGGATGCAGCTCGAAAGGGTGGCGGCATGGAGGAGCCCTCGTTGGAGGCTCTCATGCAGGCAGGCCTCATCTGCGTGGTCGGTGCCGCCATCATCTTCTCGAATCTCCTCATCATCCTCACCTACCTTAATTTCCGTGGTAAGTACTCGACGATAACGCGAAACTTCTGCACGCTTACAGAATCGAATACGGTAGACTCCTTTTTACTACGATAGAACGTTTTAATGGAACTACCGAACAGGTCAATATCACTCATTCCTAATTTTTTCTTTTTGCGATTGTTAAAAAGATGACAGGGCTCTCTGAGAGAGTATCGAAGAAAATGGTTCAGTAATGTGTAAACGTAGTTGTAGATTAACAGAAATCTGGATACGTGCAGTTTTAAAGTTTCTGTAGGGAAATTTCGGAATGTTAATTTGACTACTTGGTAGTTTTATTATTACGTTAGAATAACTGCATGTAACGTTGCACAAAATGCATATAAATGTGTAAAGTATCCAGAATGTAATATTCTTACTGACATTGGTTTAAAAGAAACGCATTTTGTATTGCAATTCTATTTTATTAACCCTTTGCACTCGGGAGTTTTTCATTGGAAATATGTTAACGTTTTCTGATGAGATAGAGAGGATATTTTGTGAAACCAACTCAACGAGAAATCACACTCACATTGAGGGACAAAGCTATTTTGAATATTTCTCAGATTCATGCATTATACGAAGTTTAATATTGATTATCAAATTTTATAGTTTTACTGTATGAAATCAAGTGCTAGGCGAGAGTCACCTCTCGAGTGCAACGGGTTAATTATATTCTTCAAGTTTTGTAATATTCATGAAAATCCACAGTCTGTCAGCGTAGACTGGCAGTATGTACACAGTGCAACGAAACTTGTGTTTCATTAGACAGTTACCGAAATAAGTGTAAATAATTATTACACTGTGCAGGTCCCTCCGAGGTGATAAACTATTACTTGCTGTCTCTCGCATCGGCGGACCTTCTTTGCGGTTTGCTGGTGGTTCCGTTCTCGGTGTATCCGGCGCTGGTACGAAGATGGGTCTATGGGGACATCGTGTGTCGTCTCGTTGGTTATTTGGAAGTTACTCTCTGGGCGGTATCCGTGTACACTTTCATGTGGATCTCCGTGGATCGTTACTTGGCCATCAGGTACGTTCAAACATGTTACTACATAATTTGATATCAGTTCCGTGAACACTGTACTATCACGATGCTTTACGTCGAAACCACTTATGGGCCTGTTAATTTATTTATTGATGCACACGTGATCACGCCGTTTCTCTGTTATTAAACAGTGGGCAATAATCAAATATTTCTTATCGTTTACAACTAAAGTGTTTAGTGCCATAGAGAAAGCTATGCTGTAAAGCATTGAAAAATCAGATCTTTATTTAATTTTGACAACTCGAGTTATTATTATATAATTTAGGATCAGAAAAATTATTATATAAGTTATTATTATATTAATTTACGATCTGAATATTAAGACTAGTGAAAGTACAGCTTTTATTTGATTTCAGATTACTATTTGTAATTATTAATTGAAATTCACCGATCGACGATTATTTCATAAAAACACTAAGAAACATGTGTACAGTCAATGTTTCCTTTTTAAGAAACAGTATACGCATATTTAAATTTGCTCGAATTCTTACCGATGGCGAAAAGAAATTCTCTTACAAAAGGTGTAAAGTATATTTTGTTAATGAAGGGTGTGGTTAGTATTAGACGCTAATTACGCCACGTAAACTCGTTTTTCTTAACATTGCCATCTTTTAAAGCGCTGTTAAAACCTGTAATTTTAATCGTCGTGCATTTCATATATGTTTTACGAAATATAATAAGATTGGTATTCCATCATTTAAAGTTGTTCGGATATTTTACACTGTGTTTGAAGTTACAAATATTGTGTAATTACGAGTATCGTTGAAAAATACACAGCGAACAAGATACAGTCAGACTTCATTGGCACGATTGGTAATATGTTAATACTTGCACTGGAGATATGCGGGTAGTTGGGTAACCGAGCTTCGAGTCGAGTCGGAAAAATTCCCACGAAATCGAACGAGATTCCGAAAGTGCCTTCCCACGTATAAATGGTCGGGATGTCGAAACCTTCAAACACTCGAGACTCGATTCGGATTTGTGTTTAAAATGAATCGTATCACGTTCATGATGCGGTCGTTGAGATATTACTTCAGGAAATCGAGTAAACGGCAGATATACATACGTGTTTAAAATGTAAAATACACGATAAGATAGTTTATTGAAAGGGAAATTATAAAAAAAAAAATAATTTTAAAGAGTAATTATATTTATTCGATAGAAAAAATGTATTCACGACAGCAATGAAATTATAGAACTAGTTTTACTAGCTATTTCCATTTATCTTTGGAGGAAATCAGTTACTGCAATATTGAAAAAGCAGAAAGTATAAAATATTTTATAAATAATAATTTATGATATTTACGTAATGAATATACAGCTTCAAACGGAAAATATTTTCTATCGCATTTCAGTGGAAAATATCCTACAATACAACGACCAGTAGTTTTATCGTTCCTTCGCCGATTAGATGTCAAACTTTCTTTCAATGTTACATAAGTGACTCAGAATAACACTAGTCTAACTTTTATTTTTAGAAATCTCATTACTACAACTACTAATATTAATACATGGTAATAATTAATATTATTATTACTAGTAGTAATACTCGATAATAATTAATATTATTATTATTATTACTAATACTTGATAACCATTAATATTATTATTACTGATATTAATACTTGATAATAATTAATACTATGAACATTAACATTATTAACACAAAAGTTTTTCTTTTCGAGAACTCGGAAATAAGTGTCAGACCACTATCAATCTAAGCTACTCGCACGTTGCTTCGTCGGTTTGCACGAAATAATCGAATTACTTTGTTCAACAGAAAACCATTGCGATACGAGACCGTGCAAACAAAAACACGATGTCAGTGTTGGATGGTCTTCACGTGGATCAGCGTAGCGATGATGTGCTGCCCACCTCTGCTAGGTTTCCAGAAACCGATTTTCGACCGGGAGGCGTTCATCTGTATGCTCGACTGGGGCAACATGGCTGCATACACCATCACATTGTCGATCCTCGTGCTAGGTCCATCGGTCATCACCATCGTCTACACCTATTGCTACATCTTCACAATGATGAGGCGACTTCGGTCCGGTGTGCTGATACACGACAAAGAGTACGCGACGGCCCTTTCAGAAAACCTGAGCAATCCGAGTCACATCATGTCTTTCGTCCTGGTGATGGCGTTTTGGGTCTCCTGGGCACCGTACGCTGGTCTGCGGATATACGCTGTCGTTAATGGACCGCCTCAGGTAAACTCAACGAACAATGAAACGTTATTAACGCGAGTTGGCTGCCACGAGAATTTTGAACAGGAATTGAAAAGCTTCAGAAAATAACTGTTTGAAACAGTTACATGTCGGTTTCGATTGAAGTAGTTATAGAGGACCGAAATGAAATCACCAGTGTTATTCAGTATATCGATTCTGAGCTATATAGCTTTTGGTTCCGGTTCTTCAGAACTGATGTCATATCGGTAATTGACTTTTGGGCCATTCCTATAATGATTATTAGGTATGTGTGGCGTTGTACGAGGCTTAATGCGTTGCGAGATAACTCGTCATGGTCGCGAAAGGGTTAACCTATGATTTATTACATAACTGTACCAGCCAGAATTATTTTGTCGTTAATGAACTACTAGAATTATTAGAGGATAACAATTAATAACAAAAATATAGTATGTTATTTGGATTCAAGAAAATTGAGATTTATTTATTTTCGTTCATTTTAATTTCAGATCTAACGCTAAAACTGCCGAGCGTTTTATGTGATTAATATGTAATCTTTATAAAAATTGTAATAATGTATTTTTTTGGTTTTCTTCTTATATTCATTATAATACTCAAATGAAGCTGTTTATTTTTCAAATCATTTCATTGTAATTGCGAAATAAGAAAACCGGAACACGTCATTTTGACGAGTGCTGTAGTTCCAGTGTTAATACGTTCACGCCGGCGTATATCACTGGTGGCTCGCACTTCGATATCACATTCGATGGCGTGTACCATGTAATTCGTTAAACTGGTTTGGTAAATACAAAAAATTGCCATCTAGCTGAACATTAATTTATTTATCGGTAATTTCAATATTTTCCAAAATTGCCATGTAGTTGAACATTAATTCACTCATTGGTAATTTCAATATTTTCCAAAATTGCCATATAGGTGAACATTAATTTGCTCATCGGTAATTTCAATATTTTCCAAAATTGCCATATAGGTGAACATTAATTTGCTCATCGATAATTTCAATATTTTCCAAAATGTCAAGAACTTCGCCGCCAGATGTGAAAAAAACGTGAATTACAACGCCAGCGTGACCTTGTTAAGCCTGTATTGTACAGTTAACAGGTTAAGCATTGACATCACCATCCCTTGCAACTCTGTTCAGGTACCTTTTCTTCACTTCGCGGTGGTGTGGCTGGGGGTGACGAACAGTTTCTGGAAAGCGGTGGTCCTCGGTACCCTGAGCCCCCAGTTCCGACTGGCAGTTCGCGTGCTCTGTTTGACGCTGTGCTGCCGGCATAGACGACTTCC